GCCCCAAGTCCTTGGGTCCCTGAACGCAGATGGGAGACCCAGAAGAAGCTCCTGGCTCCTGGCTTTGGATCAGCCCAGCTCCAGCAGTTGCAGCATTTGGGGAGTGAACCAGCAGATGGAAGCTCGCTCGCTCTCTGCCTCTGCCTCTCTGTAGCTCTGCCTTTGAAATAAGTAAGTATATCTTTTTAAAAAAATTATTTGCAAACTGTTATAGATTTTCCATGTAATTCACTCAAAATATTTTGCTAAAATAGCAAATGGCATGGAAGAGCAGCGTTTGCTAATCAATAAATACAAAGCTTAGACTGACTTTTGCTGAAAGCATTTTCTTCTCACAGCTCTATGCTCTGGTCCCTGGAAGGACAGCAGCTTCAGAAGGTTTGGCCATCTCCCAGGAATGGGCATCGCGGTCAGATGTTAATGATGAAAGTACAGTTTCCCTGTACTCTTACAAGTAGATTTCCACTCCAATGAGAAATTATAGTCACAACAAAAATGCCTATACTGTCAGCATCAGTCAGGATTATTTGTAGTAGGAAAATATTTGTTGGAGAACTGATCTTTGTCTGATTCAGGTAAGAACAGCATTATTGAGAGAATATTGAGAAACTCAAGAAATTGCTGGAAAGCTACAGAACTGCTGTCACTCTTGGTTGTGATGTTCTTCTTCATTGGTGACCTGTGCTGAGAGCTCATTGTGTGTCCTACTGCCCTAAAAAGCTTTGTAAGAAAGAACTAATGTGAACTATGGCTGACAACAGTTAGCTTTATTTTTCCAAATAGCTAGTAGAAAGCATTTTGAATGTCCCTGACGAAAAGAAGCAATAAATGGCTCAGGTGACTCATAAGTCCATTTCCCCTGATCTGATCATTACAATACTGTTACAGTATTGAACTATCACATGGTACCCCACAAATATGTGCAATTATATGTCAATTAAAAATTTAAACTATTCTAACATAACCACAAACAGCAAAAGTTATCAAGTCAGCTCTCAGGACAGCCTTACAAGATGAAGTGCTAGGTTGAATCAAGGCCACCCGAAACATCCCACTCCTAAATCCCAGTCCAAACCCCTGAACCTATGGTGTGCCCTCCAGAAACAACTGCTTTGCTGACATGATGCAATTAAGGATCTTGGCCGACACTCCTATGGGTTATCCTGAAGCCAATCACAGACGTCTTTGCAAGAGGGGAAGAAGGAGATTTAAAACAGTCAGAAGAAGATGGATATGAGCCAGGGCCAGTTGCTGCTGTGAGCAAGGAGGAGTCCTAGACATGATGACAGCCAGATCAGCACCTGCCACCGAGGACATCTGACCAGGAGCTTCTTGCTCAAGCACCACAGCTGCTGGGAAAGAGGGCACCTGCTACAAATGAGAGACCCTTCAACCCTCCCCACTCTTAGGAGCTGACTCAACCTGGGTTCGCTGGGGCTGCATACCGCTAACTGGGGGCGTGAGAGGCATGTCCTTAAACATGAGAAGTTGATTCCCAGTGCTGGATGCTGGAAGTCTGAGATCAAGGTGCAGGCAGGCTGATCCCTTGTAAGGGAGAACACTCCACGCCTGGCACTCTTTGGTGTTCTCTGCCTCACAGAGCGACGCCCAGACACCTGTCTTCATTGTCACACAGCATTTTCTCTGTGACTGTGTCCAAACCACCCTCATGCCCTCATCCTAACTTGGCACATCTATGACAGCTTTATTTGCAAATAATGTCACATTCCCAGGTGCCAGATGTTAGCACTTCCACCTAGGAATGTGGTGGGGGGGTACAATTCAGCCGATAATAAACTCTATCCTGGATAATGGACTAATTGGAGTCTCACTGCTGACACCGAATTCCACAGAAATTGCAGCATGGACTCAGAGAAAGCAGGGGCTTTGTTTTTTTGCTGTGATTTGCCCGGGATCTGAGGCAGTACTCGGCACATAGCAGGTGCTTAATATACATTTTGGGTTTTTGGTTGCTTATTTTGGTAACTTCTCAGAATCAAACATTTTGTTGCATTTGCAACCTTTTCAGCCCTATGGTTTCAAAAATGAAGACAGACGTGTACTATAACCTTTAAAAAAATACCCCCAAATTTCAAACTGCATCATGAACCAAAATGGAAAGAATTTAAACTGATCAGCTCCTACTTTAATAGACTGTCCTTCGCAGCAGAGCACCCCTCACAGGGAAATGCCCTCATTCCCACGACACCACCTGATTTCAGCATTTTGCCTCTTAAATCCTTGACTCCAAGGGCACTTCCTGCCAGGTGATCCCAGGTGATAAGTGAGTTGTTCTGCCAAAACCTACCTGGCCATCAGGATTTTCCCATCTTAACACTAAGTGGAGGCCGGCGCAGCAGCTCATTAGGCTAATCCTCCACCTGCGGCACTGGCACCCCGGGTTCTAGTCCCGGTCAGGGCGCCGGATTCTGTCCCGGTTGCTCTTCTTCCAGTCCAGCTCTCTGCTGTGGCCCGGGAGTGCAGTGGAGGATGGCCCAAGTGCTTGGGCCCTGCACCCGCATGGGAGACCAGGAGGAAGCACCTGGCTCCTGGCTTCAGATTGGCGCAGCGCACTGGCCTCAGCAGCCATTTGGGGGGTGAACCAACGGAAGGAAGACCTTTCTCTCTGTCTCTCTAACTCCGCCTGTCAAAAATTAAAAAAAAAAAAAAAACTAAGTGGAGTTTTCAGTGAAACCAGATAACCAATCCACTGCTGGTATCAATTTTGTGCCTACAACCATTGTGGCACCAATTTTGAAATTCAGTCTGGCCAGTTTAAAGCAGAAAAAGAGCTTTTAAATATAATAGCTATTAGTTTACAATATTGTCAAGAAAGGTTTAAAATCAGGAATAAAAGATCCTAAGCAGTTGCTAAGACCCTGACCAAAATCACTTAAAAACCTTGACAAGGGAGGTCCACTCTGCTGTTGGTCAGCACTAACTCTGCTTTTCCGTCCTTCCTGTCCCCACCCAGGGCTGGTAGGAGACACTCACAGTTGCTGATTCCTCTGCCCACACACACAGTGGGCTCCCCTTGGCTCAGGCTTGAGATGGGCACATCTGGAAAATTGCTGGGAAAGCAATTTTTGGCTTTTGTAGTGAGAAGTGGGCATGCCTACCAACAAGACCCATGGAGTGAGGGATTCTTGAACCACAAAAGGGGGTTCAGGTGCTGGACAGCTAGAAGCATGGTGAGTGTACATTACACTGTTCTAATGATCAGATCCATCTGAGCTCTCAAGGCAAAAGAAGCACTTTGGATTTTTATAGTGATTTTCACTGTACAAAACACTTTCTCATCAGTTCTTTTGGCTATTGGCAGATGAGAAGGTTAGCCATCTGACTTTGAAAAAGGATAATTGAACATCAAAACTCCCAGGTAAGTATCTAGATGTAGGATCATGATGCAAAATCCTTGTATGTTGGGAGGGGACCAGGCTTGTGGGGGAGGGGGTCAGAGTCATTTGCTCATGCCCTCATTTATTAATTTCTTCATTTACTGATTTATTGAGTCGCTGCCATGTACCCAGTCTTATTTGGGGTTTTACTTCCAACACGAACACTGTGGAACACTGAAGAATGACTTCATCTCTTGGTAGCTCAGCTGTTTCCTCAACAGAATCAGAAGGTAAGGGCTGGTATGTGGCGTAGTGATTAAGGTTGCCACCTGTGACTCTGGCATCCCATATGGGAGCCAGTTCAAGTCCTGGCTGTTCCACTTCTGAACCAGCTCCCTGCTAATGGCTTGAGAAAGCAGAAGATGGTCCAAGTGTTTGAGCCCCTTTCTCCCCTGTGGGAGACCTAGCTGAAGCTCCTAGCTTCAGCCTGGCTCAGCCCTGGCTTTTGCAGCCACCTAGGGGGTGAACCAGAGGATGGAAGATCTCTTTCTCTCTCTTTCTGTAACTCTTTCAAATAAATAAATAATTTTTGTTTAAAAAAGAATAAAATGATAAAAATCTAGATCAAGAAGGTATCTTACAGACTTAAAACTCCATAAAGAAAATGCTATATATTATGGTATATTTAAGAGATAATATTACCCAATCTAAGTAGGGTATATAAAAATTTAGAGGATCTGTTTTATTGCTAGGAATTATGTCTTCTTTGTGGGTCATTATTGTTGGCCATACACAAGCAAAAACTCCATTTCCTGCGTGTGACTTCCCTTCAGGGTCTTGGGATCCACAAGTCAGGGGGAGCAAGGCAAAGGATCAGTATGGAAATGGTTCTTCCAAGAGTATTGTCAATGTAAAAACAAGCCATTTTCTGAAGTTGCTGAGATGGGAAGAGGTTTTGAGCATCAAGGGAAACTGAAAGTACAAGATTCTTTGATTCCTGGTGAGTGCTAGCATTAAGCCACCGCCATGAGAATCAGTGTTCCGGAGCCTTCAGGACCAAGGAGGACTCAGCAATGGCGTCTCAGGAAGGGATTATAGCAGGACCAAGGCTGAAGAAGCAAGCCACCCTTGACTCGCTGTGGCCCCAGACAGAACTGCTCTAGCTGCAAAGCCCTTCAGAGGTGCATATGACACGTGGTCAGGAGAGGCCAAGTCTGAGTTTGTGCGTGAGAAGGTTCTGGAAGAGGGCTTCCACATAAGAGGTGGCATGTGGGCTAGCTGCCAAGACACCAGGACGTAATTCCATGGATCTTGTGGTTGTGGACTAATATCCTCAAACTTCCATAAATGGGCTTTAGGGCTCAGTGTATCAGAAGTGAGACTCAGGAGGCATGGGACAGGCCAAGGGACACCATACCCAGATCAACCGTGAGCTTTGCTAAAGCATTAGTGGTTGAGGAGAGAGAGCTAGTGAGAATGAAACATGACCACAGTCAGTTACTTTTGGGGATAAGAAGATAAGAACAAGATGGAAAATGCAGGTCTGAAACTGTAGATCAGTCTGTGAAGACAAAAAGAGATGCAAAACCCTAAACCAATGCAGTGATTAGGTGTGTATCCAAGTAGAAGACAAGGCAGGCAGTCAACAGAGGTCCATGTGGCAAGCAGCCAGAGGGAGGTGCAGTCAGGTGGCATTCAGGGGCCAGAGTGTCCAACCATCGGGTTGGCTGAGTGTTATGCAAAAACAATCCCCTCCAGTGATAAAGGTCAGAAGAGACAGCTACCGCAGATCTGAAGTACAAAGTAGGGGGGTGCCCTTGCCCTGGTTTGAATGGGTTCTTTCCCAAATTCAAGTACTTAAACTTAATGGCCAATGTGATCTTGTTAAGAAGTAGGGCCTTTAAGAGGTCATTACATCACAAAGGTCCCTCCCCTTGTAAATGGGATTAGGTGCCCTTATAAAAGGGCTTGACAGAGGGAGGCCACCCCTCCTGCCCTCAGTCTTCTGCTATGTGAGGACACAGAAGCCATTGCCAGACACCAAGTGCTAGTGCCTTGGTTGTAGATTTCCGTCTTCCAGAACTGTGAGTACTAAATATCTGTTCTCTATAAATTATCCAGTCAATGGTAATCTATTATAGCAACACAAATGGACTAAGACAGTCATATGGAGCAAGACAACAGAGACTACTCATTACACCTGCATCACCAGTGCTGTATCACATGACCCCCCTTGACTCAGGCAGGCTGAATGACTCAGAAAGGGTCACGTGAACTAAGAGGTAGCCAGTCTGGAGATTGTGCAGGGACCAACACACAGGATAAAGTTAAAATCTAACTGAAAATAGAACGGGCCATCAAAGAAGGCCGTACCTTTCTCTGAAGGGAGGAGAAAACTTCCACTTTGAACATGGCCTTGTCTAAATAATGTTGGAGTTGGGGAACTCAAGAGGCTTCCATAGCCTTGGCAGCTCATGACAAGACCCTAGGGTGATTACTGACGCCATAAATAAGAGTGTCAATTGTTAAATCAACAATGAGAGTCACTGTGCACCTGCTCCCCATGTAGGACCTCTGTCCTTAATGTGTTGCACTATGAGAACTAATGGTAAAACTACTACTCAAACAGTACTCTATACTTTGTGTGTCTTTGTGGGTGCAGTCTGTTGAAATCTTTACTTAGTATATACTAAGTTGATCTTCTGTATATAAGGATAATTGAAAATGAATCTTGATGAAGAATGGGATGAGAGAGGGAGTGGGAGATGGGATGGTTGCGGGTGGGAGGGAGGTTATAGGGGTAAAAGCTGCTATAATTCAAAAGTTGTACTTTGGAAATTTGTATTTATTAAATAAAAGTTGTAAAGAAATAAAAAGCAATTCTGAGCTGAGTCCTTTAATTTCTCCCTCTTTGAAACTATTTAGGAAACATAGAGAATCGGGGCCAATTCAATTGGAGAGGAAGTCACAAAGAACTAAAAGAAGAGCCAGAGCAGCCATGATGAGTGACATTCAGACCACCGGACTTCAGGGAACAAAAGTTAGGGCCAAGCAGGAAAAGCCTTGTGCTGGAAAAGAGACTGGAATGGACAGAAAGCAGAGCAGAAATGCCTGCAGGGATAGACAGCTGCTCCTTCACGGCGCCTTCAATTTCATCCATATCCTCACCGCCAGCATCCCTGCCCAAGGGCTTACTCAGGAAAGTCTCTGTGTCTTACAACCCAAGTTCCCAATCAAAATTGTGGTTCCTAACACCATGACTCTTCTGAACTCCTCCTAGCCTTGTACTGTGTGTAGGTTCTATCTGGTAGGGTGTGGGGGAGGGGGTACTTCCAGGTGAAGGTTGAGCTCCCATCGTCCAGGTCAACGAGTTTAAGGAATTGAAGGTCAAGCCAGTGCAAGTGATCCTCACTGGGCTCCAAGTATCAGCCTGCTCTGGCAGTTATGGCCACTTGGGAAATAAACCAGCTGGTGGAATCTCTCTCTCCTCTCTGTCTCTCTATCCCTGTCTAACTCTTCCTTTCAAATGAATAGTCTTTAAAAATTAAAAGTTACATTCATTTGTAACCCCAGAATCATCACCTACGTAAAGGTGGTAGAAACTCAGGTCCCATTAGCGATTTTACTACTACAAAAATTCCCAATCTGTCAGTGCTTCACAGCCATGGCATGAGCCTCGGAGCTGCCTCCTTGGTGGCCACCGTGTCTTCCAGGAGAGGAGACACACATGGGGAACCTAATTTGCCTGTGACGTCAGCAGGAGCAGCAGAGAGTGGATTGGAAGTCCCTGGTGTGTCTGTGTGTGTTGCGGTCCTTAGGCAACATTCATTTCTTTGAAGTGAAGTCACTTTTCAGAGAATGACTTCAGAAATCAGTAATGGAGGTGTCACTCTAACCAGGCTTGCAATTGGAGGGCTTCCGTGTTGAGGCAGTTTGGGACTGAAATTTCACTTTGTTTTGTTTTGTTCTAAATGTTTCCACTGCTAAAAGGGAGTCCCACTGGCAATCTTTGCCAAGAAGCTGCTGGGACCGAATCGAGCAGGAGGAACTCGGGTTGCTTCCTGCAGCCTTGTTTTCTAAATCGCCCTGGAAGCAATGGGCCGGGAGGATGGGAGGGTGCTGCATCCGGGGCCACACGCCCTCACTTCAATCTTCCTCCCAGTGCAATCATCTTGCCAGGCATTGACAGATCTATTGCCTCAATTTACGGCAGCTCTGGAGCCATACGAAGATACAAACTGTTCCCATTTTGATTGGAAGATAAATTGCAATCACTTCAGAAGGGAGCTCGACCATCTTGTCAGCTGGAGTGATTGTAGCCGGGGGAAGGGAAGACCTTGTCACGATGGACGGACTGCGGAAGGAAAAGCTTCTCCGGTGTCATGGTGCTGAGCACAGGGAAGCTCGGCAGGCACAGTGCAGGCTGAGCGCGACACCTCCACATGCAACTTGAGAGAGGCGAACAAATGTCTCAGACGTGGCTTGTCCCGTTCTTATCAGCCGTCATGGAACAGAGGGCGGACACTGAGTCAAGCAACCAATGCCAAGCCACAAATAATATCAGAGTTCTCCCGTTGATCTCAGCTGGGGCATGAAGTCAGAGTATGCACACGCAGGCTCCGTGCAGGGTACATGGCTTGAACGAAGGGGTCACAAAGCAGTTAAGGGCCTGAGTGTTCTAGCAAGGAAAGGGTATGTAGCCGCTGCATATGCTACAGAGGGGTTGGAAGAAAGTCACCTTGTACAAATTTCAATCCTTATTTATTATTTTCCCAGCTCTGCCACCACCTACAAGTTTGAGGGTGTCACAGTCACTTCATAGCTGTACTCATCTGTTAGATGCAACAATCGGAATAAGCAGTTGCCATTTTCAGTTCTGAGATGTTTGTAGAGGCTTTTCCCCCCGTTTCCTGAGTTACAGAAACTTCCCTTCCTTTCTCGTGGTCAAGGGTCCTTGCTCCGACACCACTGGAAGTGGCACTGCCCTAAATGGTTTCCAGGCAGAGAGAGAGGACCTCGGAAAGCGAAAGAATGAGTTTCTTTTCTCCACCGTTCCTGAGGTCCCAACAGAAAGGGTGGGAACTACAAAGCAGGATGCATGCAGGATTCTTTATTTCCTGAGAGGAAGGGATGATTTGGAAGGGCAGCTGGGGGTGCCAAGAGTTACGTGCTCCTGAGATTGATGGTATGTGAGCCCAACAGGTGTATGAAACTGTTCGGTAAAAGCCTATCAACTGGACAAAGCAGTCTTCCCAGCTGGAGCGGGGATGCAGTGGTCATGATGCAGACTTCAATAACGTATTGTTAACTGGAGTAATCGTTTGAGAAAGGGCGAGACCTCCGATTAACAGCCCTGAATTGAGTCTAATAACTACCTGGCACAACATCATATCTGTCCTCAATCAATACTTAATTTTCTCATATAGCCCTCAGCCTCCTGCAAGCTTTGTTGTTGGCAGAGAACAGCTTTGACCTAGAGGAGGAACAGCCACCTTCAGCTGTAATATCCCCAAACAGCTCAATGTATCCCAAAAATATTCCCAAGACAAATAAAGGAAATCCATGCTCAGGAAAAAAAAAAAAAAAAAAAACCTGCTCTCTGGTATTCCCTTGGTATCATGTCAGATTTTTCAGTTCTTCACCTTATGGGTTGGCCAGAATGATTCTGATTGGGAAATCAACCTGTGCTTTTACAAGAAGCAAATCTAAGAGACTTTGCTCACATCAGCAAATGCAGGCTCGGAGCCGGGCTTCTGCAGCCTGGGTTTCATATTCCACAGCCCTGGAGCTTTGATCACAGGAGCTTGGCAAGTGTTAAGGGAAGGTGGTTTTTTCCATTTCAATCACAGAAGTTACTCTGGAGTGTGACAAGGGTGGAGTGTGGGTTTGGGGGGATTAACGTTGAACCTTTGGTGATTTCTTCAATATTTTGTCCCAGCATTGCACTTTTTTATATTGTGTAGTAGAGCTATTTCTTGAGGTGAGAGAATTTCCCAAAAATTTTTTAACTTTTATTTAATGAATATAAATTTCCAAAGTACGACTTATGGATTACAATGGCTCCCCCCCCCATAACGTCCCTCCCACCCACAACCCTCCCTTTTCCCTCTCCCTCCCCCCTTCCATTCACATCAAGCTTCATTTTCAATTATCTTTATATACAGAAGATCAGTTTAGCGTATATTAAGTAAAGATTTCAACAGTTTGCACCCACATAGAAACACAAAGTGAAAAATACTGTTTGAATACTAGTTATAGCATTAAATCACAATGCACAGCACATTAAGGACAGAGATCCTACATGAGGAGTAAGTGCACACTGACTCCTGTTGTTGACTTAACAAATTGACACTCTTGTTTATGGCATCAGTAATCACCCTAGGCTCTTGTCATGAGTTGCCAAGGCTATGGAAGCCTTTTGACTGACTCTGATCATATTTAGACAAGGTCGTAGTCAGAGTGGAAGTTCTCTCCTCCCTTCAGAGAAAGGTGCCTCCTTCTTTGATGACCTGTTCTTTCCACTGGGATCTCACTCGCAGAGATCTATCATTTAGGTGGTTGTTTGTTTGTTTGTTTGTTTTTGCCAGAGTTTCTGGGCTTTCCATGCCTGTAATACTCTCATGGGCTTTTCAGCCAGATCCGCATGCCTTAAGGGCTGATTCTGAGGCCAGAGTGCTGTTTAGGACATCTGCCATTCTATGAGTCTGCTGTATATCCCGCTTCCCATGTTGGATCGTTCTCTCCCTTTTTTATTCTATCAGCTAGTATTTGCAGACACTAGTTTATGTGATCCCTTTGGCTCTTAGTCCTATCATTATGATCAGTTGTGAACAGACATTGATCACCGAGACTAGTGAGATGGCATTGGTACATGCCACCTTGATGGGATTGAATTTGAATCCCCTGGTATGCTTCTAACTCTACCGTTTGAGGTAAGTCAGCTTGAGCATGTCCCGAATTGCACATCTCTTCCCTCTCCTATTCCCACTCTTATATTTAACAGCGATCACTTTTCAGTTAAGTTTCAGCACTTAAGAATAACTGTGTATTGATTACAGTATTCAACCAAAAGTATTAAGTAGAACAAACAAAAAAAATACTAAGAGGGATAACGTATTAAGTTGTTCATCAACAGTCAGGGCAAGGGCTGATCAAGTCACTGTTTCTCATAGTGTTCATTTCACTTTAATAGGTTTCCTTTTTGGTACTCATTTAGTTGTCACCAATCAGGGAGAACATATGGTATTTGTCCCTTTGGGATTGGCTTATTTCACTTGGCATAATACTTTTCAAATTCCTAACAGGGATCACTTTTCAGTTAAAATTTAAACACCTAAGAATAATTGTGTGTTAATTACAGAGTTCAACCAATAGTACTAGAACAAAAAAAAATACTAAAATGGATAAAGTATTACATTGTACATCAACCGTCAGGACAAGAGCTGATCAAGTCACTGTTTCTCATAGTGTCCATTTCACTTCAACAGGTTTCCCCTTTGGTGCTCAGTTAGTTGTCGCCAATCAGGGAGAACATATGATATTTGTCCCTTTGGGACTGCCTTAATTCACTCAGCATGATGTTTTCCAAATTCCTCCATCTTGTTGCAAATGACCGGGTTTCATTGTTTTTGACTGCTGTATAGTATTCTAGAGTACATGTCCCATAATTTCTTTATCCAGTCTACTGTTGCTGGGCATTTGAGTTGGTTCCAGGTCTTAGCTATTGTGAATTGAGCTGCTATAAACATTGAGGTGTAGACAGCTTTTTTGTTTGCCAATTTAATTTCCTTTGGGTAAATTCCAAGGAGTGGGATGGCTGGGTTGAATGGTAGGGTTATATTCAGGTTTCTGAGGAATCTCCAGACTGACTTCCCAAAATTAATCGTCCTCCTCCATTCACTCATTTGACTCGTAAATGTTGAGTTGACGTTTCTTTAAAAGGTAAACGATGTTAAGGGACAGCTGACATCTCATCACATCCTCTGAAAGCTTCTTTCATTAACTCGATAATAAAACATTGCCCTTCCGAGATCTCATTCAACGAAGCTTCAGCCTTTCTGTTTGTGCAGCCATGCATGGCAAAATTCTGCTTCTGCCAAGGACAAACTGCATGGATGACCACAGTCCCAGAAGATTCTACTGCCTAGTGACACTGTAGCCACTTCATAGTTTACGTACTCCTGTGTTTGCACAATGACACATTACCAAAGGGTGCATTTCTCAGGGCACGTCCTCTTTCTTAAGAGCCATTCCTGACTGTATTTACTTTCTACTGTTAA